AATCGTCTTTGTCGAATGAAAAAATTCCGACCAGAACGTAATGCATTCCCAGGGTAACCCGTGACAAGTAATCGAATTAAACACAAGGAAAAATTAATCGTTTCCACCACGTCAGCACCACCGCAGCAGTCAGTCACTGGCCAAAAACCTCTCTCTCTCTCTGTACAATGAAATAAAAAGGGATGGAAATCAATACTACATATTGATAATTACATTTATATTTAATCGACATGCACCTGAGCTGGATATAACGGTATACTATCTTTATTTTGAATGTTATTTGCTTCAGATTCACCTCTAATAACCGAATTAGTAGTAAAAAATTATTGAATTTTACGCAATGCATTGTATGATTTGGAGTCATTCTCACCCTAACAACCAATTGATTACTTTAGGATTCAGGACGATAAAATATCCGATAGCCAACTACTGGACACTCCCAGCACCTATTTGTCTGTCTGTTATCTGATTCTGGGAACACTGATCAATAAATTTTCCATCGGATCAATATTGCTCTTCTTTGGGGATAAATTGAATCCATTCCACTTCAACGTGGCCTATCGATCATTCATACACACACACACACACACACACACACACGCACACACAGCGATCCGCGCCAGTGTCCTGTTAGTCATTCTCTTTCATGACCCGTGTGTTGTCAATTTCATCCACCTCATTGATCCGTGTCACCATGACTCTACTCTTGACACGGTGATCAGGGAAGCACACACACACCACTGACAGGTTTGTTTCATTATGCACGTCCCGGTATTGTTCCTCTGACTTATCTCATTGATAACTGCTCATTATTGATTGACACACGCACATAAACGCCCACGATTCCGCACAAGTTCATTTGCACTGTCTCTCTACGACATACAGTATTCACACTCATCACCCATCGATTGCTTTTCCATACCGGAGTTCCCGTGGTGGCCTAACACGAATGCATGCGCACCCCTTTGATATTGTTTATTTACATGATGAGAATGTGAGATTTGATTTGATTATCCGGTGACGTTCGTCGTGTTTGGAACAGATGACGGATGAACAAAAAAGTTAAGAAATACTGGAGAACTGTTTCGTCCTAACTGGGTCTCATCATTAGTGCATGAATCTATCGTTTCACCTAGGGATCGAACCCGGGCCCGCACAGGTAGAACTCAAGCATACTACCCATTCGGTCGCCGAGTAGCGAATTAGACCACCTCTATCTTTGACCAAAGAAGATATAGCACAACCTGTTTTTACGATATCAATGTAGATAGGTATCACACCTCGCGCATTTCGGCACTAGCCTTCAGGTCTATGGCTCTTTATAACGGACCAAGATGAGCATATATGCAGCAACCTGTGAGGTTCGATCCCCGGTTAGACCGATGGGTTCGTATTGTTGATGAAACCCAACCAGGTTGAAACAACCGTCCAGTGATTCTCAACCTTTCAGCGTTTTCTCTTCATTTAATCTTTCCGCGACTGAATTCAGTATGCAACTCTTTATTTGGTTAGAGTAAAGTCTACCCGTATGCACTCTGTCTCGTACTTTTATGTTGGCTTCACAGATTCTGGTGCTCGTTGTACCGGATAGTTTACATGTTCGGGTGTCCGATACGGTTGCAATCTGTATTTCGATACCGTTTGGTAGAAGAAACCCCTTTTTACGAGTCACGACTGTACGTGGATCGTTGTAATCTGTGAAGTCAATAGTCAATAACTTTTAGTAAAACCAAGAAACTACCTTGTGTCCGATAAAAGCAACTGCGTGGGAAGATATCTTGGGTATGAGGAACCTACTTTTCATGTGTTGTTACAAGAGCCATTGTTGATGAACTCTTCAACTGTCCACTTCGTTTGAATGTTGCCGTGTCGGCGGGAGAAAGAAGTCCGGAATTCGTCGTGGACTTGGGATCTTTCGGGAACCAGATTTGTTCGTTTACACTAAGCCATGAACCGGTTTTGGGCGGGATTTGTGAATCACACATCGGTGCATCATCGACCCGCATGGATTGTGGTCTACGCATTGCCGGTGGTGGTAGTGGTGGTGGTGGGGGTGATATGGACGATTTGAGTGAACTAGGCACCTGAGGTGAAGTTGGCAGTACGACCATGGAAGAAAATCGTGTCTGAACACTGGGCGAGCGCAGGAACGAGCGTAAACTGGACCGAAGACGAGAACGAACACGTTTGCTCAAACCCATTTCCGTCTGGGGTGTCTCGTCGACCGGGTCCAGGGGATCGCCGCGTGACGGTGTCATCGGTGAGATGATCACGCTGGACAAGGTCCCGGTGGATGTGTGAAATGGTACCTCGCTTGGCTCCATTTGCCCGGTTTTGGGGGATATCGAATTTTTCCATGGGAATAGGTTGTGAAATTTGGGTAGGCTAAGTAGTTGTTCATGTGATCTAGTATAAAACAGAAAGAGAGGGGTGATGAATAAATAGATTTATTTAATCCGTCTGCTTAGATGAATAATACTGCGCAATTTAGATGTGTGAAAACATTTTACAGCTCCACAGTCCCGATCTCTGGTCTATTATTACTCTCTTTTGACTAACCATCTGGTTAATCGTTGTAAAACAGAAACAAACAGTTCTAACACGATTGTTGTGGAGGAGTTGAGAAGAGAAATAGAGGCGATGTGGGTCACTGATCAACAACACTATATATGTCTAACGAACACTCTGATCCGGGGAACAGGAACCACACTCGATCTTCCGCTGTGTCGCGCCTCCAAGAAGTCACAGTTTTGAAAAACAGAAGGA